TCTGATCTAAGGATGATCATGAGAGAGTAGAGTAGAGTAGAGTAGAGTAGAGTAGAGTAGAGTAGAGTAGAGTAGAGTAGAGTAGAGTAGAGTAGAGTAGAATTCTTTATTGGCCAAGTGTGATTGGACACACAAGGAATTTGTCTTTGGTGCATATGCTCTTAGTGTACATAAGGAGAATAAAATACATTCATCAAGAATAAAAAGATATAGTGATAGTTAAGGTTAGTAATAAGCTATCAAAGAATATTATTATATCTAGGAGCAATTCTGACCCTATTTGTAAAATATATGAGGAACCTGTGCTTTTTAAAAAATTCCTAAAGAAGAAAATAGTTTTAAAAATCCTAGAACCATTTACATTAGACTCCCTGACAGTAGCTTCTAAACAATACAAGTTGGGCAAAAAGATATAAATAAAGTGTAATTGTGGAATATTTCAGTATTTATTAGATGCATGTCTAGATTTATGTCTTTAAGAATAATGCAGATTTGATTTACGAATCAAATAATTTTTATTTCTGCTAGTACAGTCAGCTTGGGAAAAAAGATGAAGGGGAGTTATGGTTCTGTACCTGCCAAATTGAGTAGTGCCTCAACCACATAATACTTTGTTTATTTATTTATTATTCATTTGTTTGTCAAACATGTACAAGATAACAAGTAAAGGTATGAACATAAACATGAACAGAGGAAGTAAATACAGATAAATGGGGACGGTAGGCACTGTGTACGTGCGTGTATGCACCCCCCATTAATGGACCTCTTAAGAATGAGGTGGGTCCGCGGTAAACAGTTTGAGATTGAAGCTGTGAGGGTTTGAGGCTGTAACAACGGAGTCGGGTAGAGCATTCCAGGCGTTGACCATTCTGTTGCTGAAGTCCTATTTTCTGCAGTCGACTTTGAAGCGGTTTACCTTGAGTTTGCATTGATTGTTTGCCCGTGTATTATTATGGTTGAAGCTGAAGAAGTTGTTGACAAGCAAGAGGTTGTAGCAGACAATTTTGTGTACTGTGCTTAGATCGAACCACAGGCAGCGCAATTCCAGATTGACCAAGCCCAAAATTTCAAGCCTGGTGGCATAGGGAATTCTATTGTGAGTAGAGGAGTGGAGTACTCTTCTCATAAAATACCTCTGAACCCGATAGTTATTTTAATCCAGGAAAAAATATTCTTAAATTTCAATTCAATACTGTTCCATAGTAATGAGAGATTCTGGGCTCACAGCGATCACATTCAGCTTCTTCTACTGCACTAGAAATGTTCACTCTTCAATGTTACTTTATTTTTACATAAATAAACTAACTGCGTGGGGAAAGATAAGATTTAAAAGCTGTCTTCATTTCTTGTCTACTTTGCAAAATATATTTTCAACCATTACTTGCACTTCATTAATATTTTCCTCTTCTATTACGCAAATCAGAGTAGCTGGAGTTAGGAACATCATGGATGTTTTAATTACAAAGTGATTATAAAGAACTCTAAATGGAAAGTTTTATTATATTGTCCTTGGAGAGCATCCCATTTGCAAATTGCTCGGTATTTGTTCCAGCTGAGAATTTAAAACATGAGAGATCACCAAGAACAAATATAACAGGATAAGGAAATACAGTGGACATATAGCCATAAATATAACAGACTTGAACTGACACAAAGATAAAATACTTCACAGCATGAAGTATTTTGCAGAAAGGTGAATTTGGCTGCCTCAAGTGGCACAATTTAGTAGGATGGATGACAGCATGTAACGGTACTTCAATAGTGCAGCAATTTTTTTTTAATCCTACCTCAAACCTTTCAAACAGTGAAGAGAAAAAGGACAAACATTTTCACTGGAAAACTATTACAATATTTGGTTGTACCTGGACCAAGAGCAGCAGATTGGTGTCTGGCAAAGGCGACTTTAACTTCAAAGCTTGCAGTAACTCTAAGATGACACTGCGGGATAAGTAGAACTTATCCCTTTCCTAAAATAAAGGAAATTAGTGTTTATTATATTTTTAGTATCATAGGGGTGTGGGGTGGGTGGGTGGGGGTGGGGGTGGGGGTGGGGTGGGTATGCACAGTTATTTCTACCCATATCTTCCTGCATATACAAGGTGCACCCAAAATCAGGAGTCATGGACAATTTGTTACATAAATTACATTAAATGTTTGAACTGGTAGCCATTTTCTTCTAAACTCTTCTTAATGGCAGATGATTTTCCTTACTGATGAATGCTCTTTAAACATGCCTATGTATAATAAGGTGTTTGCAAATTTTAATGTAATGGTCTCCTTTAGATCATCTACTACTGGACTGTGGCACCTGACTTTTGCTACTCTCTGTCACATATCTGCAGTCTGAATGGATGTGTATCAGTGGTGGGATTCAGCTGGTTCGCACCTATTCGGGAGAACCGGTTGGTAACTTTCCAGGCAGTTCGGAGAACCGGTTGTTGGAAGAAATCTTATTTTGTTTTTCCACACTTTACAGGGCTAATCCTGTAAGGAAGGCAGGAAGGGAACATTCTGGTGTTGTTTCTAGCCTCAACTTTGTTGACCTGTTTACAGCAACTGTCTCTCCGGTTAACCCTGATTACATTGTAAGAGCTAAAGTGAAGCACCCATCAACGGGAGTGACGTTAAGTTGGCCACACCCACCCAGTCAAGTGACCACTGAGCCCTGCCTACCCAGATGGCCATTAGGGCAGAGAACCGGTTGTTAAATTATTTGAATCCCGCCACTGATGTGTATATATGCATATTTATGTACTAGTTTGCATATACCCTATGCAAATGTTTGGATACTGAACATCCTCTATTTCCCCCCCTCTCTCTCTTTTACTTCTGTGACAACTGCTATTCTATTCAAAAAGTCCCACAAGTGTCCAGATCAAATGTAAGGAAGGAGGACAGATGAGCTACAGATAGAAACAGCCTCTCATTTCCTTGAGTGAAAACACCATTGTAGAGGAGTTTAGAATATAGGATCTCAACTATAGAATATGAATGAAGGTATTAACTCAAAGCAGAATTGGGTGTGTGTGTGTGTGTGTGGATCCTGAGAATCATACCTACATTGTAATACATCCAACAGTATTTTGCTTGCAAGGTAGTTTCCTATAAACCTTTTGGTTGCATTTGCAGCACACTGGCCAAAGTGTGCCAAAACTAATAGGTATGTCTATACAGTAGGGAATGCTTCAAGTTGCACAGATATACTCACTCTATTTTACTAACTAGTATTTAACAGCACTTGGCAATAGTATTTAGACTTGCACACTGCTTCATAGTGCTCTAAAGCTCTCTCTGAGTGATTTTTACAAAGTCAACATATTACCCCCAGCAATCTGGGTCCTCATTTTACTTCTCATTACCTTCAGGATGATGGAAGGCTGAGTCAACCTTGAGCTGATCAAGATCGAACTGTTGTCAGTTGACAGGGTTAGCCTGCAATACTGCATTCTAACCACTGCGCCTCCACAGCTGAATCAAATACTCAGTTGATTCAAGCCATTATGGTGAAGATCAATATATATGGACACTTCTGGTGGCAACTGCGGCAGTGTGGCATATAGAAGTGGATACCATAGAATGCAAGAGGGAAAAATGGCAAAGAACGCAGATTAATGAGCAGAATGAAAGACAGAAAAAAATAGTTAGGTTGTGTGTCTGGGAAACTAAGAGAAACAGAAAAGCTGTGATAGATCCTTTGATGGATGGATGGATGGATGAATTGATGAAAATGGATGAATGAATGGCACAGTCAGTGAACGTATTCTTGAAAGTGAAGGTAGAGATTTAATTATGAATGGAAAGTATGTCCATTAAAAGTATGTCAGAAAATATAAATTGGTGACATATAGATTATTGTAGGCTTCTATAAAAGTAGAAATCCATGGGATATTGACAATTGCATGATTCAGTCCAGTGAAAACAAATTATGGAAGAGCCAGGGATGAATTTGAGGGAAAGTATGCAACATTCTGAATGAATGTGATCCAGGGGAAAATATTTTGTTATATGACATAAATGGATGGTTAAGAATGAGACAAGAGAGCACAGAAAAAGTAATGAGGCTCTACTGAGGCACAAAATAAATGGGAATAGTGACTAGTGAGCATCAGCGTAGAGAAAGTGCTTTTTTACAAGCATAAATCTTTTCATACAGAGACATGGAAAAGGAATGAATCAAAAAGCACGCTGAATCTGCTTGTTGTTGTTTTAATAAAAAAAATGACAAAATTGACCGTTGTCTTATCTGAACGGTCCTTCTATGGGTGCTGCGAAGGGAATCCAATCATGGGTTAACTTAGCCTTCTAGCCTTGAGACTGAGTATGCAAATTTCAAAGTCATGCCTCCTCTGACTGGACTTCCATTCCCTTTTCAGTTCTTTACGAAGTCCACCGAAGAGCATTATGCCAATCATCAACAAGCCGCAAGTCATCCGGCACTACAGAGTCAAGTCCAGTCAGAAACAAGAAGTCACAGAGTCACGATCAAAACGGAGCCCTGACCAGCCGAAGCCGCGGGCGGGTTTGGATTCCCTTCGCAGCACCCATAG